AAAAAAAAATAAAAAATAATTATAAGACAGAAAAAGTAGTGATTAAACTTCGATTCTTTAGAGACATGTTCCAAATAGCTAATTTCTTGTATTAATTCTCAGGTTATACGGATGTCATTAAAAGGGAAAAAATTACTGTAGTTAAATAAAAAGATGGTTTGTCTACAGTAAGAAGTTATTATTAAATGCTAATAATTATGATTTTTTTCTTAAAAAAATATAAAATTTTATATTAAAAATAATTTTTGATTTTTAATTTAAAATTAATTAATAAAAATTTAATACATGATATTTACAATTAAAATAAAAATTAATTTTATTTTTTAAAAAATAATAACTAATAATTACTACATAATTAATATATATATTATCTCGGACAGTTCGATACACCTATTAAAAAAAAAAACACACAAGTCTCTTGCAAATCTTTAAGTCAACATCAAGGGTATTTATCATCGACGGTTTAAATCGAGTTCCCTAGACAATCAAACCGACGTAGAAGGTCTACATCCACCTGATCCCTACAATACCATGTCGACCCGTCACCAAAAAGGACAAGGAAAAGTAAACGAAATAAATAATTTAGTATTTATTTATTTTTGTTTATTAAAAAGTAAAAAATTTTAAATTTCAGATGGATAATATGCGAGTAAAATAAAATAAAAGATGGAAGATAGTTATTTTTTATTATGTAACTAATATAGAAGATAGTTATTTTTTATTATGTAACTAATATAAAAAAAAAACAGTTTCTGTTTTTATAAAGGGATTTTCTAATTTTTGTCCCCTTAGGCACCACTTAACCTTCATTAATTAGGGTGTTTGTAGTTAATTTTTTTATTTATAAATTTTTATAATATAATTAATTAAAATATAATATAATATATAATCAAAATTTATAAAAATTTATGTAAAATTAATTATAAATATTATAATTATTAAGGTGTAATATGTATTCGTAGAATAAAAGTTAAATAAATTTTTTTATAAATTTCCCTTTTTAATTCTTTTTTCTGGATTAATATAAATGCAAAAAATTCTCCTCCAAACAAATAGTACATGTCATGGTATACAAAAGGGTTTGGCTGTTTTATGCATATTCTATATTTTCTAATTATTGATAAATAGAAAAGACCAC